AGTTTCGGGATGAGGAGTCGAAGGTTGGGAGGGAGGAGGGAAAGGGGGGTGGGAAGGAAAGGGTCCTGAAGGGGGAAAAAAAATGGGAATTTTTGGGTTTTTTTGGGGTTTTTTTCGGGGTTTTTTGGGGGGTTTTGGAGAGGTTTTGTGGGATTTTTATGGGGTTTTACTTATTTTTTAATGGATTTTTTCAGCATTTTTTGTGGATTTTTTTGCATTTTGAGAGGGTTTTTACTCATTTTTTTAATGGATTTTTTCACCGTTTTTGGGGATTTTTCCCCCGATTTTTATGGGTTTTTACTCATTTTTTTTAATGGATTTTTTCACCATTTTTGGTGGATTTTTTTGCATTTTGGGTGGATTTTTACTCATTTTTTAATGGATTTTTTCACCATTTTTTTTGGGATTTTTCCCCCTATTTTTATGGATTTTTACTCTTTTTTTTAGTGGGTTTTTTCATCATTTTTGGTGGATTTTTCTACACGTTTTTATGGATTTTTACTCATTTTTCAAATGGATTTTTTCACCATTTTTGGTGGATTTTTTTGCATTTTGGGTGGGTTTTTTACTCCATTTTTTAATGGATTTTTTCACCGTTTTTGGTTTTTTTCCCCGATTTTTTTGGTTTTTACTTATTTTTTTAATGGATTTTTTCACCATTTTTGGTGGATTTTTTTGCATTTTGAGTGGGTTTTTACTCCATTTTTAATGGATTTTTTCATCATTTTTTTGGTGGATTTTTTTGCATTTTGGGTGGGTTTTTACTCATTTTTAAATGGATTTTTTCAGCATTTTTGGGGTTTTTTCCCCCGATTTTTATGGATTTTTACTAATTTTTTTAATGGATTTTTTCACCATTTTTTGTGGATTTTTTTGCATTTTGGGTGGGTTTTTACTCCATTTTTTAATGGATTTTTTCACCGTTTTTAGGGATTTTTCCCCGATTTTTATGGGTTTTTATTCATTTTTTAATGGATTTTTTTTCACCATTTTTTGGGGATTTTCCCCCGATTTTTATGGGTTTTTACTCATTTTTTAATGGATTTTTTTCACCATTTTTTGGTGGATTTTTCTGCATTTTGGGTGGGTTTTTACTCCATTTTTAATGGATTTTTTTTTTTCTGTGATTTTTAATGGGATTTAAGGAATTATTTTATGGGACTTTTAGTGGAATTTATTGAATTTATTGATGGGATTTTTAAAATGGGATTTATGAAATTTATTTTGGGGATTTTTAATGGCATTTAAGTAATTTATTTATGGGGTTTTTAATGGGATTTAAGGAATTTATCAATGGGATTTTTGGTGTTTATTTATGGGATTTTTAATGGGATTTATGGGATTTATTTATGGGATTTTTAATGGGATTTATGGGATTTATTTATGGGATTTTTAATGGGATTTATTGAATTTATTTATGAGATTTTTAATGGGATTTATTGAATTTATTTATGGGATTTTTAATGGGATTTAAGGAATTTATTTATGGAATTTATTTATGGGATTTTTAATGGGATTTATTGAATTTATGTATGGGATTTTAATGGGATTTAAGGAATTTACTAATGGGATTTTTGGTGTTTATTTATGGGATTTTTAATGGGATTTATGGAATTCTTTTATTGGACTTTTAATGGGATTTTTGGTGTTTATTTAGGGGATTTTTGGTGTTTATTTAGGGGATTTTTTTGGGACTTTTAGTATTATTTTATGGGATTTTTAATGGGAATTTTGGGATTTATTTATGGGANGGGATTTTTTTGGGACTTTTAGTATTATTTTATGGGATTTTTAATGGGAATTTTGGGATTTATTTATGGGACTTTTGGGATTTATTTATGGGATTTTTAATGAGATTTATGGGATTTTTTTATGAGATTTTTAATGGGATTTATTGAATTTATGTATGGGATTTTTAATGGGATTTAAGGAATTTATTAATGGGATTTTTAATGGGATTTAAGGAATTATTTTATGGGACTTTTAATGGGATTTTTGGGATTTCTTTATGGGATTTTGAATGGGATTTATTGAATTTATTGATGGGATTTTTAATGGGATTTATGCAATATATTTGTGGGATTTTTAATGGAATATTTGGAATTTATTTATGGGATTTTTAATGGGATTTATGGAATTATTTTATGGGACTTTTAATGGGATTTTTGGTGTTTATTTAGGGGATTTTTTTGGGACTTTTAGTATTATTTTATGGGATTTTTAATGGGATTTATGGAATTTATTTATGGGATTTATTGAATTTATTTATGGGATTTTTGGGATTTTTTAATGGGATTTTTAATGGGATTTATTGAATTTATTTATGGGATTTCTAATGGGATTTACGGAATTTATTTATGGGATTTTTAATGGGATTTAAGGAATTCTTTAATGGGACTTATAATGGGATTTTTGGAATTTATTTATGGGATTTTAAATGGGATTTAAGGAATTTATTTATGGGATTTCTAATGGGATTTATTCAATTTATTTGTGGGACTTTTAATGGGATTTATTAAATTTATTTATGGGATTTGGGGGATTTATTTATTGGGATTTTTAATGGGATTTTTGCGGTTTATTTATGGGATTTTCAAATGGAATTTAAGGAATTCTTTTACGGGATTTTTAATGGGATTTATGGAATTATTTTATGGGATTTTTAATAAGATTTTTGGGATTTATTAGTGGGACTTTTAAATGGGATTTAAGGAATTATTGTATGGGATTTCTAATGGGATTTATTGAATTTATGAGATTTTGGAATTAATTTATGGGATTTTAAAATGGGACTTAATGAATTATTTTATGGGATTTTTAATGGTATTTATGGGATTTATTTATGGGATTTATGGAATTATTTTATGGCATTTTTAATGGGATTTATGGAATTTATTTATAGGATTTTTAATGGGATTTAAGGAATTATTTTAGGGGACTTTTTAATGGGATTTATTTATGGGATTTCCGGGATTTATTTATGGGATTTTTAATTGGATATATTGAATTTATTTACGGGATTTATGGAATTTATGGGATTTTTGGTGTTTATTTATGGGATTTTTAATAAGATTTTTTGGGATTTATTTATGGGATTTTAAATGTGATTTATGAAATTTATTTTTGGGACTTTTAATGGGATTTTTGTGATTTATTTCTGGGATTTTTTAATGAGATTTATGGAATTATTTTATGGGATTTTGAATGGGATTTATGGAATTTATTTCTGGGATTTTTAATGGAATTTTTGGGATTTATTTATGAGATTTTTAATGGGATTTAAGGAATTTATTTATGGGATTTTGAGGATTTATTTATGGGATTTTGGGGATTTATTTATGGGATTTTTGGGGTTTATTTTTGGGATTTTGGGGTTTATTTATGGGATTTTT